CTGCCAGCACCAGGGTGACGGTCAGGAACAAAGCCGAAGCCGAGGCAGGGGTGGCAAACCTGCCCAGGGCATTACACAAGGTCGAGATCCAGGAGCTGCTGGTGAAGTTCCAAAAGGTGCACGGCGTCAAGCTGGAAGACCGAAATACACCAGCGGCCACTACACTGGAACAGGTCTTCGACCAAGTAGAGCAAGGAGAGCTCAAGAACATGAGCTTGGTTCAGTTCCTGAGCCGAGATGATGCGGAGGCGGACATCTTGGGGGCCACCGTGGAGAAGAGCACGGGCACGCTCAAGATCAAGAAGGGCTACGGGGAGTGCCAGAAACCTCGTATCCCGGAAGAGTTCCGCAAGAGAATGTCGGTCGTGGCAAACGCCTATCTTCGAAGCGCAGTTGAAGTACCCTCAGAAAGCAAGCCTACGTGATCTACAGCCACAACATTTCCTCAGGTACTTAGACCTGATGCTGGGTGAACATGTTTTGGGATTGAAGGCTCGCAACAAGGAGGGAGAGGTGATCGCCGCACCGGAGTTCGATTTGATGCTGTCGTACGACTACCAGATACGACGGCAGATGGTGAAGCTGGTGAAGGAGGGAGCCACCATTGCAGAAGCACTCAAAGAGGCGATGACAGATACCACCATCAAGGAAAGGCACTTCCTCACACCGAACGTGTACTCACAGGTGTCCTCCACAGCCAGTGCATCGAAGGGCGACTACCAGCGGTCTCGCAGTCCTCCATGGCGAAGGGGGTCATGGAACACGGACTTCTATGAGCAGCCCAAGGGCAAAGGCAAGGGCAAGAAAGGAGGAAAGGGCAAGACCAAGAAAGGTCGTCAGATGCACGACAGGACACCAGACGGCCGCCAAATTTGTTGGAGGTGGAATAACCCCAGGGAGCGATGCAGGTTCCAGTGCGGTCGCCTTCACGTGTGCCAGCTATGCTTTGGGAGTCATCCAGCCCATGCATGCGACGGATCAGGAGGCAGCAAAGATACGGCTGGTGCAGCAGCCGACGCAAGCAAATCAGCTTGAAGCAGCGGAAAGGGGAGGGCTGCCTCACTCTCCCCGGAGCAAGAGAGCACAACGAGAGGCACACGGACATGCAGGGTGCTGTATTTGTTCAGTGGGGCTCATCGCAAGGCATCGGTGGGCACATTCCTACAAGAGCTGACAGAAGGCATTGGCATCGAATGCGAATTGCATGAAGTAGATATTCAGAACTCCCCGGAGTGGGACCTTACAGACAAAGGGTTGCAGGCAAAACTACTCACTCAACTACAGCAGGGCTACTACCACGTGGTCTTGATTACGCCTCCGTGTTCTACCTGGAGCCGAGTCCGAGGGGCCAACTGTCGAGGCCCACCTATGATTCGCCCCAAGCAACATCCATGGGGTTTTCCATGGTTGGCCAAGCGTCACCAGAAAGACGCAGATCTGGGCAACGAACTGATTCGGTTCATGCTCAAGGTGCTTGAGACACTGGAGGCTCATCCACACACCCAGGACGGCCAATCTGTCGGGAAGAGGATGGTATGGTCATGGAGCCTGCCTCCATATGGCAACTGCAGGAGCTGCGTCACTTCGCCCGCCCGGGCAATGGCTTGCACATCTTCACAGTGGTGTTCCATCAGTGCTGTTGGTCGGCTCCGTATCGGAAGCCCACTCGGCTGCTTACCAATCTGAGCTCCCTACGGTCTTGGGGACCCCTCTTATGGCCACAATTCGACGCTTTGGGCAACTATCAGGGGCCTGCGGTTGACCTTTGTCAGTGCAAGCCATCAATTACACTAGCTCGACAGGCGCATGACGACACTTTTCGCACTATGGCTACCTCGATTTACCCAGAGCCCATGGATAGAGCCATCGCAGAGGCCATCTTTCAGGCTCTTCTAGCTGCCCCCTCTTCAGCTGAAGAGGGGGGGAGGAAGAGGGGTCAGCTGCAAGCAGAAGAAGTCGATAAGAGGCAGAAAAGGGCGGGGCAAGCTGCAGGTGAGGCAACATTGAGCAAGATACAACATTGTGCAGTGCAAGGCCAAGCAAAGCAACATTGTGCAGTGCAGGGGCGAACAGAGCAACATTGTGCAACGCTGGGCCGGGCAAAGCAACATTGTGCAATGCAGGGTCGAGCAAAGCAACATTGTGCAATGCAGTGTCCAGCTCGAGTGGACGGCCCGGCATTGGCCCTCCCATGCAGGTGAAGTACAAGGGGGACCTCAGATCAATACACGATGGGGCTGGCTTGTGCTCTCCTGGTCGTTGGCCTGTGGGCAGGAGAACCGCCCCGGCTACGCAGCTGGGCCGAGAGCTTGCGAGGTGGTGCTTGAGGTCCTTTGAAGATTGGGTGGAGCTTGAAGGTGAAGAGACGGTCAAGAAGAAGTTCTGGCTTCTGGCAGCGGGAAAGTTGGGGGGCTCCCCTTTTGGGGGCGAGGTGTACGGCTTTCGGGAGCACCTGGACTTATGGCTGGAGGAACGTGGTCTTCGTCCTGCGAGGAGGTCAGAGGACAGAGACACGGAGATCAACTTTCGCAGGCTGAGGAGTGTTGCGGAGGCACTGGCAGATGAGGACTTCGAATTCCTTGACGAGGTGGCGGCTACAGGAGTCCCACTGTGTGTCGACGAGGAGACGCCGAGAAACCCTGCGGTCTATGAGGAGAAGCAGAAGTGGACCGTGGAGCAGACAGAGGAGGACTTTCATGACACCTTGGCAGACAACTACCTGTCAGCAGAAGAAAATGCAGGGGACATAGCCCGGCAGGTCATGGAGGAGGTTCAGAAGGGCACGATATTGCGGCTCAGCGAAAAGGAGGCTCGGAAGAGATTCGGGGGACGTTTAGCTGTGGCTGCATTGGGTGCTGTCCCCAAAGAGCTGGGACCAGCAAAGTGCGCTTGATTCACGATGGCACTTACAGCGTGGATGTCAACAGGCGCATTCGAGTCAGGGATCGCATGAGGTTCCCACTCATTGATGATGCTGCGGCTGTCCTTAGGCAGGTGCGTGACGAGAAGGAGGAGAACGGGGAGATCATTAGGTTCTCGGTCCTGTACGACATCGCTCGGGCTCACAAGTTGATCCCCATCAGAGAGGAAGACTGGGGGCTGCAGGCTTTCAGACTCCCGGGTGAAGATAGTGGGGATGTCTTCGTCCACACTCGGGGGACCTTCGGCATTGCAAGTGCGGCCTACTGGTTTGGGAGAGTCATCGGGGTGGCTGTGAGATGCAGCCATCGAATCATGGGCCATTACATGGGGCTACTACACCTGATCTATGCCGACGATGGGTGGTTGACAGCCATGGGTCCGAAGTTTTGGAAGAAGGTGTTGATGTGGCTATTCATTTATGAGCTTCTTGAGATTCCCATCACCTGGACTAAGGTCCGTGGTGGGACTCAATTGAACTGGATTGGGTACTATACCTCAACGTATCCACCTTCGAGCGCGGCATAAATGAGTCCAAGCGGGCCTGGATCATCAAGTGGATAAATGACAAGCTGTCGCAGGGCAGCGTGGTCGGGCGTGAGCTGAAGTCGGTGCTGGGACGCCTGTCCTTTGTCGCTGGGGCCCTGCGTCATGTGAGGCCCTTTCTGTCTCCGCTCTTTGCCTGGTCGGCGTCGCTGGCGGGTGGCACGTTCGCAAAGTTCCCGGATGCTGTCACGATCCTGCTGGAATATGCGAGGGAGGAGGTTTCGCGGAAGCCGACGAGGCCTTTGGAACCCCTGCTGGCCAAGCCATTCGACATCTTTCGAGTTGATGCGAAAGCTGCTGGTGAGGAGATCGTCAGATGGGAGACTTGGAAGGAAGTCAGTCAGAAGTCGGCGCGTTGGTTCTCTTTTAGGCTCAACAGGAAGAATGCTGCTTGGGCCTACCTAAAGGGGGATCCCTTCAGGTCCATTGCAACGCTGGAGCTGATCGGTGTTCTGCCAGCAGTCATGGTCTTCGCCCCATTGGCGGAATGGGGTACAGGTGATGCAGTGGTCACTTTGACGGCCTACACGGACAACCTTGGGAACACACATGCGCTCAAGAAGTTTGGAAGCAGCAGGTTCCCGTTGAGCATTGTTGCAATGGAGTTGGCTTCGCAGCTGGACAGTCGAGGCATCGATCTCGACCTACAGTGGGTGCCACGCTGGCAAAACCAAGAAGCTGATGATTTGACCAATGAGAGGTTCGATGACTTCGACGAGGCAAACAGGATAGAGGTGTCGTTCGAGTCGATGGAGTTCATGGTCATGAGTCGGCTCTTGGACAAAGCCGGCAAGCTTGATGAAGAACTGCGTCTGTATAAGACGTCTAAAGAAGCCAAGCAGGCGACCTTCAAGAAGTCCAACCAGGGCAAGATGAAGAAAGGACAACTTCGCTGGCAAGACCCCTCATGAAGTGAAGAAGGCGGGAGGGTCGTCGTAGCCGTATGTTTCTCCTCACAGACTAATCTATCTATAGAGTGGGGCGTGCGGTCCTCACTCTACACTAAAGTGGGGGGAAAGTACAGTGAGAGCATGGTAGAACTTCACAGCGGCACTGTGAGGGAGGTGACAGGCCGTGGTCGTCTTAGCTGCTTGTTGGTGATCAACTTGCAGAGCTTCTCACATAGCTGACAGGTCTTTGCGCAGCCCGAAAAAGGAGTACCTGTGTGCGCGCAGTGACGGCATGTTGTACGTAGTACACGGCATGTCACGAAGCGATCGGTAGATTGTGGCCCAAAAGCTGTTTCCTAGACCCACCACCATCCCCAGTACGCCACCAAACTACCTGACTACCGGTCGAGAACGAGGGGAAAGTACAGTGAGACCATGGTAGAACTTCACAGGGGCACTGTGAGGCAGGTGACAGGCCGTGGTCGTTTTAGCTGCTTGTTGGTGATCAACTTGCAGAGCTTCTCACATAGCTGACAGGTCTTTGCGCAACCCGAAAAAGGAGTACCTGTGTGAGCGCAGTGACATATATATATATATGATTATATATGTGTATAGACAGTATATGCATAATATAGATCTTGCCAGGTGGACACAGCACAAAAAGCGGGTAAAACTGATGCAGTCAGCGACCTACACTGAAGCTGCACGAGCATTTGAAGCTTGCCGTATAGTTGAAACAAACCAGGAAACACACAATGATTGATTGGACTGAGGAGGCGGAAAACAAGGATGGCCAAGAAGGAGTGGCAGTGATGCTTGTTTCGAACAATTTCATAGCAGCTTTTAAACGCATTTGCAGGCCGACCAAATCAGGCGGGGCTCATCAGCTTATCCATGGCTTGAATACGACTGCCCCTTACTCAGGAAAATCAGCAAGAAGCCCTGGGCTCATGAGTTTTTGAGAGCCCAGCACTCATGATCGGTACTTGTACGGGTTTGCACTGGAAAGGTGGATTTGCCTGTGACTGACCGACTTCCCTTCAACATCTTTGTCCTGGCTACAACGCAGGGCTCATAGAAATCATTGCATCCTCTAGCAGCGGAACGCTGGAGGGAAAGCTTTGGGACAAAAACACATCAAACGCAATGCAAGGGACTTTGATGGACATTCCAGGTTTCTGAATATTTTGATCATCGGACTGGAGCAGGCAAGCGTGTGTTCGTTCGATGTTCCCCTTCATTGAAGCTGTTGAAACAGCTATTCACTTGCAGAGCAGATTTTGTCACAGTTGTTTGGTGCTTTTCAAGATGTGAAACAGTTCCATCCAATGCGCAGGATTTTGACACCGAAGGGAACGGCATAATATGGTCAGAAACTTGGATGATAAAACTGCAACTGTTTTGGTGCAACTGTTTTGGAGTCTGGGACTTATGTGTGCAGATACAATCTGACAAAAGAGAGTCTCAAATGCATGCTTCTTGGTGCAGCCATGCACGCAGACATGCAAGATGTAGACTGTGGATGGTTCAGTCACTGCAGATCGACATACATTTCCCAGGTTTATCCTTGAAAGCCTGTTTGTCATCCTCTTCATCATTGAGCTTGGCATCCGCTGGGGCTCATTGAAGAGGTGGTCTGAAGATGTTACTCGCACTTGCGAAGCTACAATAGCATTCAGGTATGAAACACGTTCCCACCCCACGCTTACACTTGTTGCTTGTTGAGTGAACAAGTTTGTTCAGGCGATCGACCTTTTTTCAGGATGGCTGGAACATTTGTGACGTGCTTGTTGCATCCTTGGACTGTTACCCACCTTGCAAGTGTACTTTGACAATGCAACATAGTTGGTGCGAGATTTTGCTGTGATTTGTGCACATCTCTTTACACAGTCTACTCACTTGCAGCTTGTCCTGGCCTCTGGCGTTGACTGCTTCGTCCTAAGCTTGATTGGAATTGGTGGTCAGGCCTGGCTACTGAAGGATTCTGTTTCTCATCGTTCAACTATTGTTTTGCTCTTCGGCCTTCGAAACCTTTCAGCCTTCTTTTTGCTGTTTTTGTGTCGTTCCAGATCCGCTTCTTCACCGTGATCCGGGCGTCTGGCACTTGAAGCTGACCACGGGGAAAGTGGGAAACGGACATCGCCTTGACAGGTTGCGAGTCATCAGATTTGTACGTCTTGCACTGGACTCAGTATTCTGTTACAAAGCTGTAAATGCATTCTCTGAGTGCTGAAGGTTAGGATGTTTTCCGCATTTCGAGAGTTGTGGCTACTGGTGGGTGGCGCAGAACTCAATTTTTACATGAGATCAGGAAGACAAGGAAAGAAGACAACTTGAGAGTCCCAGGTCTAACGAACTCTGTAAAGGCACTTTCGCTACGACCTTGGAGTGTCATTTAGCTTTAGAATGATCCATGCAAACCTCACAGCAGCATGACAAACAGCAGAGTGCCTTGACAGTGAGGTGGGTTGGGCTCGTTGTTTTCATGCTCATCTATGCTGGCAGCTCATGTGTCAAGTTTCATTGTGTGCTCCAATCTAGATCTCACATTGCGAGGTATGTGGCATAATATGCACTGCGGAGATTGGCCAGAACGTTTTGTGCTTGGTCTTGGCTACGTGATCACAAGTATTGCCAACCACCAGTCTCCAACACACGACAAGTTGTCTCGTTTTCTTTGTTTTCATGAACTTACGATGTTGAGGGCCTTGAGGGCGATTGTCAATTGAAAGAAGTGGGGCTCAGGATGAAACCTACGCGATTGGTCCGTCCTACAATGGAGAGGCAGCAAAACATCGCCTCAACCGCCCTTACAGTAGTGTTTTTGGAGGTTTGTCGCACAGGTGTGGCCCTACAAACAGTACTTTGGGACTGTCTTTAGGCGACCAGCATTCATAGAGAGTGTATTCAACTTATCAAAGCATCGCCGCATTGGCCAGGTCCATGTTTACTCTTTTGCAGGCCAAACTGTCACTTGCGCTTAGCTGCTGCAGTAAGAACCTTCACTTGTGTTTAGTCAGCAGACTCCACAGAGAGTGGTTGTGTGAAGGTGCTCACTTTGGATGGTTGGTGTGACGATATTGTTCGGCATGTGGTCTATCGACAGCCCGTCATGGGTGTGCGCAACTCACTGACAGACAGGAGACGAGGTGTTCAACCTTCACCACCAAGGTACACTGCTTTTCTTTGGCCAGTAATTTGCGAAATGAAAAGATTATTTTGCACCAAAAGCTCCAAGGTGTTCTTCATTTGCTTTATCCTCTTGACTTCATTTGGCCTCATGTTCGGACCTTGCACTGTGACACTGGTGACGGCAATGGCAACCTAGATCAGAAATGACTTGGCAATCTGAGGAATGTCGTTGTCGGAATCATTGTCGAAAACACGTTGGCAGCCGCCCAGGTAGCGTGTGGGGATGTCATGCCTGCCACTCGTAATTCTATTTGGGACGCAACAACTATTTTGATGTTGGCGTGGTCTTGAAGCAAAGAACATTGCTACAAAAAGTGCAGCATCAACTGCAGAATCAACGCAGACAAAATGCTAACATCTCCAAAAGCTGTCCCTAGGGTGACCCTAGTCCGAAAAGCAGCGAGATAGAAAGTCATAGTCACAAGTCACAAGCATGACCCTTGACACTCCTTTGCAAACACGTAGAGGTAGCCAAGGCATGTTGCAACATCTTCAACAGTGGGTTGCCACACAAACATTAGGCAATCTGGAGACACGGTGCTGAGATTCCGTTTCTTTTGAGCAAGATATGCAAAGAATGCGCAGGGCCCGAAGTGCTAGAACTTTGGAGGTCTAAGGCCGTACAAGATGAAGCGCACCACAGCGCACCCAAAACGAACCAGGTTTCAAAAAGACTCTCTTTTTCGCAAGACCTATGATTTTGGGACTTTGGGGAGGTGGTTGGCAGTTGGGGAAGTATTTCAAGCACAGGAGTGCTAGGCTTGCTGTAAGGGAAGTGCTTGAGCACCTGGGATTTGATCAAGTTGTGACTGTGACTCCACAACAGTTGTCTTGTTAGGGCTTGAGTCATATTCACAGTATAAGGGTTGCGACCACGTCTCCAAACTAAGAGAAGTCAGGTTGGGATAGTTGAAGTGATTCGTGGACGGCACCTACCTACCACTGCCCATAAACGTCTTGCATTGGCTTGCTGCCCAATGCCCAACCTGCCAGACTTAGTCTAGCTTTGGAACAAATGACTCACAGCTCAATCAGGAAGCTGGATCATATCTACATATGCCCATAATATAAGCGTACTTTTCAAGTGGTAACTGAGGATCCCCAGCCAGATGACAAGGCTTGGTGAAGGCATACCCAACCGCTGCTGAAACCTCGCGTTTTCAAAAGGTTGCACTGATAGTGCTGATGAGTGAACTCTCACTGCTGGCTCCGAAGCGACACAAGGATTGGTCGAAGGTATGAGAGACAAAGCTGGGTTAACAGGACAATGCTCACATTCAACAAATTGCTGCAATTGATCAATTGATTCAGTATATAGAAGTGACAAGTCCGTGACAAGAGTATGACGCCTTGCGTTGTTTGGCTTCAACAGTCGGTAGTGAAGTAGTGTATGTCCAAGCTGGGTGTCCTCTCTACTGCCGCCTCAGTGCGCCACTATACTTGGGAGTTGTAAATATTGCTCCCTTTCAACAGCATTACAGTGTTGCTGAAGTGCATAGTTGAGAGGTTGCACCCTGTCATTGAAGGCTCTTTGTCAATCAACCTTCCAGAGAGGTAGATTTGATAGAGTACCAGATTCTGCTTTCTGATGCTGAGCTTGAACCGGAATCATGAAATGGATGGATGGTCTTGCTTCAAACGTTACTTTTTGCATTCCAAGGCTTGCACCCATTTACTGTAGTTTATTTGTTCTGTGTTGAGTCATATCAGCGTGTATTTATGGTGTCTCTGAGGGTGTGATATTGTGTCATCAAAGGAATAGATTGGTGTATCAGTCATTGCTGGCTTCCATAGTTTGGTGTATTTTGTTTCCTGCAAAGAAACTTATACAAAAGGACATTGAAGTCTGACTGCTCAAATGATTGCAACTCTTGTCCTAGTTGGAGATCACTTATTTCTTCGCAAGGTGGTGGACAAGAGGAAAGAAGAAAAACTTGCGAGACACCGGAAGGAGATGTTCTGATGAGAAGTCATCCAGCTGCAGCAGCAGCAGCTGCTGCTGCTGCTTCTTCTTCTTCTTCTTTCTGCGCACATGCGATCAGGAAACAGTTCAGCAGCTAGTTGCCATCCTGTCGAGGCGAGGGGTTTGCTTGCGCCAAGTATCATGGTAAGGTATAGGAATGACCTGGGCAAATCCTTTACATCATGTCCTTATAGATACCTCATTGCTTTGAATTTGATAGGATGAGTATTGGCTGCGGTAGCTGGTTTCGTGGTATTCAAGGTCTGATTCAAAGCGAAGTGGGCTGATTTCACTTGAGGCCAGAGAACATTGATCCGACACTTTGATGCTGCAAAAGCTACACAGTTGTTGTGCCAGCTTTTTCAGGAACTGCGGGCAGCGAATCAGAGCGCTGCTTGGCTTCAAGAGTTACCCTATACAGTAGGACTGCAGACGGAACTTCAGCACATAGACTACCTTTGCAACCAAGGTCATCGTTCAAAAAAAAGTTCGAATCCATTGGCTTGCAGTTCGAGGAGGTTTAACCCTTTCTTCATTGGTCGAACAGTATGTACTGAGCAGTGCCCCCCAGGTGGAACACGTGTTCACTTTGCTAGATGTGGACCGATCCGGCAAGATCGAGCTGCTGCGCTTCGACCCACGCTCAATCTTGATATCCAGATCATCCAACAATTGATGTCCCTTTACCAGTGTCGGAGGAATGTACTTGTCATTCTGGTTCTGCACTGCTTCCAACTAACACGTCTTTGCCCAGAAATGATCTCCGGCCTCACTCATATCATATCCCTTCTTGGATACCTTTGCCACTTCAATTTGAGGAAACATGCGGAACATGAACATGGGAAGGACCTGAGATGTGAGGACTTGAAGATTGAGTCGCAACCCGTTTGGAATTTGTCTCACCTGTTCGATACAGTGAGCTCCACAAAATTGTCCGCTTTGCCCCTAAGCCAATCCTGCTTTTTGCGTTGCAGTAGATTACTCCGAGGTTTTGCGCGCCTTGCGCCTTCAAGCGCTCACGTTCCTCCGTGTTCTTTGGCCCCTGTGTAGCTGACAATGGCGGCCTGATGCAAGGAGAATGCTAGTGAGGCCGAAAGTTTGGTTTGCGACAGCCAGACAAGGGGGTTCAGACGTTACCGTGTTTTTGAAAAGGGCACGCACAGGAGTTGCGCGACAGGACTCAGGAGTGCTGAGGGGCGCTGTAACACTGCAACATTGTGTACTCATGTCCGAAGGGCCTTAAGACGGTTGACGGCCAATGAGTAAAAACAAGTTGAGACCCTATGGGAGTTGTAGGCGATTGAAAGTCGGGACTGATGGCCTCACTCACTAAGCCTCACTGTCTCAGAAGTGATGAAGAGCCAGACTGGCTTGGTGGAAGCGTGGGAGGCTGGGAAGTCTGGCTATGAACGGCCGCATTGGGAATGTTGTTCAGAAGACTCGAAGACTGCAGCAACTGCTTTCGAAAGCTGGTCACGCTAAGAGCTGGAAAGAGTCAAGTACAGCCCACACCAAGTCTTTCGAAGGCCACGTCGGGACTCACCTGAGAGTCGAGGAGTCGGTCAGTCCGAGCGGTTGTCAAATTCCAATAAATTCCATCTATTCCTCGCTCCTCACGCTCCTGGTGAACATCGACGCGCAGAAGACGTTTGCGAAGCTTGTAGGGATTGTAGGGAAACCGAACGTTATGAAGCCTGGAGGGCCCGAAATTCAATGCACCTCAGATCAAGGCCGAGAGGTTTCAGAATTTCAGTTCACAGTGGCAAGCAAGTCATGGAAGGGAAAGAAGATGCGCTGTGTATTCTGTCCCAGGTTCTTTCGCCCTTAGAGTGCCTCCCGCAATGCTGCAAATGTGTATGCAACAATTTAGTGTAATTACGTAGACAAGACCATCGTGCCCTAACCCGCCCGCTTAACCCAGTGACAAAACGGCCCTGGACCAGGGAGATTCCAGGGCAGACTACACATAGCTTGCTTCGAAAGCGTTTTGGATGAGATTCGGGCTTCCGTTGACTAGACCAGGCGCGGAAGTGCGCAGCGCAAGCGTTTTACCCTGCAATTATATCGCTGGAGGTCTAGCTCTTGTCACTTGTGCACATGTGCATTTAAGGGTGGACTTTACATCGGTGCTGAAAAATTGGGGCCAGCGGAGAAAACGTCTGCGCCTCACCTAAAGTGGGAAAAGGCATGGCGCTAATGCACTTACCATGTCCAATTCCTGCCACCGGCCGGCAACTACAACCCCTTCAAGCATCAAGTTACAGTGTCTACTGTCTACAATGTGACAGAGCAGGATGTTCAGGCTGATTGCCCAAACACAGATGACCACTCCTCCATGAACACCGATACTGACACGAACCATCTCGGCCCTGAGTAGGCCAGGTGAGGCTCCAAATTTAAAGGCTTACGCCTAACAGCCGGGCGCCGGCCCACTAGGGTCTGTGTAGGGCTGGGTCGGGTGCACGTGCAGCTATCGGGGGCGTACTGGGCCTTGGGCCAAGTTGGGCCCATGTGGTCTATGTTGGGCACATCTTGGGCCCATGTTGACCCTATGTTGGGCCTATGTTGGCCTATGTTGGGCCTGTTGGGCCTATGTTGGCGTATGTTGGGCCTATGTTGGCCCCATGTTGGCCTATGTTGGGTGTATGTTGAGCCATCTTGGAGGCTATGTTGGGCATATGTTGGGGATATGTTGGCTATCTTGGGCTGTTAGGCAATGTAAGTCGTCGGGAGGGCCTCTACCCACGAAATGTCGATTATGCTTGTCCACCCGGCACGCATTACCGACACCAGCCTTGCAAAACATAGCGTTTTCGCATTTCTCCATCTTCGCCGCTTCGATATGCGCAATAAACCCGGTAAAGCACAGTGTTTTTTATACCTCTCACACACGAAACACTGTAAATTACAGGGGCTTCAGTGGGTCGAACGTCCACCCTTTTTCGTGACGAGGGTCGGCTGCAGCAAGGGCCAGCGTCTATAACCTTCGGTTACCACCGAAGGCCAAGGCTTATGCCTAACAGCCGGGCGCCGGCCCACTTGGGTCTGTGTAGGGCTGGGTCGGGTGCACGTTAAGCTATCGGGGACGTACTGGGCCCTGGGTGGGGCCAAGGTGGGAAACTGCTCCGCGTCGGAGACCGGGGCCCTATATTGAGCAAAGTTAAGCTATCTGGTGCGCATCTTGGCCCTAATTTTGGCCAAGTTGGGCGCATGTGGTCTATGTTGGGCATATCTTGTGCCCATGTTGACCCTATGTTGGGCCTATGTTGGCTTATGTTGGGCCTATGTGGGCCTATGTTGGCCTATGTTGGGCCTATGTTGGCGTATGTTGGCCCCATGTTGGCCTATGTTGGCTCTATGTTGAGCCATCTTGGCGGCTATGTTGGGCATATGTTGGGGATATGTTGGCTATCTTGGGCCTATGTTGGGGATATGTTAGGCAATTTATGTTGAAAAAATCTTCCGATACAACTTTTACGATTTTTCCTTCCCGCAAAGCAAAACCATGGAAAAACCTACGTTTTTTGACATCGCCCAGATGACATTCTCGGCCGCCGAGGGGCCCCAAACCCTGTAAAACACAGTGTTTTTTAATACCTCACACACACGAAACACTGTAAATTACAGGGGCATCAGTGACCCGGTGGTCCCCCCGTTTTTCGTGGCGAGGGTCGGCGGCAGGGGGGGCGAGCGTTAATAACCTTCGGTTACCACCGAAGGCCCTCCGGGCATGCCACGGGCGTCCTGGCCGGCGCCCGGATTTAAGGGCTTCCGGGGAGAAGGAGGGAAACTGCTGAGACGGTAGGGGGCAGACAGAGACCAATCCCTCCAGCCTTCCATGTTGGGCCCCATGTTGGCGTATATTGGCCCTAAGTTGAGCCATGTTGGAGGCTTTGTTGGGCATATGTTGGGGATATGTTGGGTATCTTAGGCCTATGTTGGAGATATGTCAGGCCACTTCAGTCGCCGGGAGGGCCTCTACCACGAAATGTCGATTATGCCTGTCCGCCCGGCGCGCATTACCGACACCGCCCTTGAAAAACACAGCGTTTTCGCATTTCTCCATCTTCGCCGCGTCGTACTTCGATATGCGCAATAAACCCTGTAAAGCACAATGTTTTTTATACCTCACACACACACACGAAACACTGTAAATTACAGGGGCTTCAGTGGGTCGGAAGTGACGAGAGGGTCGGCGGCAGGGAGGCGCCCCGCTTATAACCTTCGGTTACCACCGAAGGCCCTCCGGGCATGTCACGGGCTTCGTGGCCGGCACCCGGATTGTGAGGCTTGCGCCTGACAGCCGGGCGCCGGCCCATTTGGTTTGGGTCTGTGCAGGGCTGGGTCTCTCTCTCTCTCTCTCCCCTCTCTCTGTCTGTCTCTGTCGGTCTCTGTCTCTGTCTCTGTCTCTGTCTCTGTCTCTGTCTCTCTCTCTCTCTCTCTGTCTCTGTCTCTGTCTCTGTCTTCTCTATCTCTGTCTCGGTCTTCTCTGTCTCTGTCTTCGCTGTCTCTGTCTCTGTGGGAGGCCTATGTTGCCACATCTTGAGGCAGTCTTGGCCCATCTAGGGCCTATGTTTCCCATATCAGAGACCTAGGTCGGGTCATCTTGCGGCTATGTGTGCCATATCTGGGACTATGTTGCGTCCTCTTGAGGGCTTCTGTCAGATCATCTTGGAGCACATGTTCCGCCTTTGCTGTTGGCGCGCGCCCAACACCCACGAAATGTCGATTAAGCTTGTCCGCGCGGCGCGCGTAACCGACACCACCGGCGCCCTGTTAGGCGAAAGTCGTGGCCGCCGAAGGCCACGAAACACTGTAAAAAACGACGTTTTTGAACATCCTGCGCAAAAAACCTGATAGATACATATAAAGGCGCGAGCGTATATCCGGCCAAGGGGCCCCGAGGCCCCAAGGCCGTGTCCTTGCCGTAGGCATTCTCTCCTCTCCGTAGGAGAGGGGCTTGCTGCCCTGCCGCCGACCTACCGAAGCTACCGCGTTTTACAGTGTTTTTGGCTTGTCCAATTTTTCGGCTCTTGCGGCGCAAGATGGGTCAACTTGGCCCAACATAGGCCCAAAAAAGCGTCCAAGTTGGGATAACATAGGTTGAAGATGGGCCAACGTAGCCCCAACATGGGCCACATAGCCCCAACACCCTCCCCTTTGCTTGGGCCCCTGGCCGGCTGTCGGGCGTAAGCCCTTAAATAACCTTCGGTTACCATAACCTTCGGTTACCAACCGAAGGCCTGAGGCTTACGCCTGACAGCCGGGCGCCGGCCCACTTCAATCTGTGGGGCGTATGTCACGCCTATGTTGGCCTTGGTGGGGCCTATATGGAGCAAAGTGAAGCTATCCTAGGTTGGGCCAAGTTGGGCCCATGTGGTCTATGTTGGGCACATCTTGGCCCACGTTGAGCCTATGTTGGCCTATGTTAGGTCTATGTTGGCCTATGTTGGCCTAGGTTGGGCCTATGTTGGGCCTATGTTGGCGTATGTTGGCCCCATGTTGACCTATGCTGGCCCTATGTTGAGCCATCTTGGAGGCTATGTTGGGCATATGTTGGGGATATGTTGGCTATCTTGGGCCTATGTTGGTGATATTTTAGGCAATTTATGTGGAAAAAATCTTCCGATACAA